TTCACTGGATGTAGTAATATTCCAAACAGCATTTTAGAATACAATGTATTTATTGATAAAGCTAATGCTATTTTATCTATTTTTTGCATATGTGTTAATATTGATTTGCCGAAAAGTCTAAATTTGAACTTTTTTTTCGATTTTTTCGTTTTTTGTTTTTGGTTCATTTTTTTTTATTGCATTGAAGACTAAGGCAGCGAATTGGTCTTTGATCTTTTTTCCATAAAAAACCATTAATGAAGAACTTTTAAGAGCTATTGTTGATCTAAAAAAATTTTTTTTTCCTAATCCATTTCTTTTTCCTTCCTTTGTAAACAATGATGTAGTTGATGCATTTTCTTTACTTTCGCTATTTCACAGTTGATTTGTTTACTTATTTACTGGTTTAATTATTTTGATTTAGTGCTACATATTTACTAAGCTGTTTTATTCTGCATCTTATTTGCTTAATTACTATTGGCAATTCATTATTCACTATTTATGTATGTTAATCCTTCCTTTTTCTTTTGTATTGGTAAATTTGATTTTTTTTAATCTAATTAATGCATTTCCGAGCAAGCGTTCATCTTATCATCTCAAGAAATAAGAATAAAATATTATATTGAAAAATTATTAGTGTTATAATTAACCATTGCAGTGTTAGGATTTCAAGTTATAAATTTGGCAATGAGATTTTTAAATGGTTATATTTAGGATAGAATGGAATGATAAATACTTTGTTATATCATATGTTTTATGTAATCTTTTCATTAATACATCTAGTTGAAAGTGAAAATGTATAAATGGTAAATGTATTGATTGCTTGATATATTTATTATATGACAATTTCATTAATTCATTGTAATTCATTATAAAACATTGTTATTGATCGAGTTGTTACGTTAAACAATAATAATAGTAATAATTTATTTGGAATTTTGAAATAAAAGAAATACGAAAATGATTTCAGAACAGTAATTTAGGTTTCGTATTCGAAGGGTTGATTTTATGTCTAATGATATGGATTTGATAGATGATGGTACCTACAAGGGTAAACCTACTTCATTATGCTCATCATCATTACTAAGTGATAATTCACCAGTGGTTGTTGATAAGGATGATTCGATTGATGGGGTATGCATTTTATTGTTTTTCTCATTACAAAAATGAACATATGTTAATATTATGTAAATTTACCTCAAATTTATGCTTCTGTATGCATAATGCTAAATTGGTATATCTTTCTTTTTAACTATCGAAATTATCTTATCATTAATTTGAACGATATGTTATTCTTGAGTGACTGCATTAATAATATTTTTATTGAATATTTAATATATTGGATGTAATTTTATATATAATTTTCATAATGGTACTATTCATATCAGTCCCTTACTTTGTATGCTAATTTCATCGATAAATTATATTATTAAAAGAGAACATATCGTCTTTCAAGGTGATACTAATATGGGTGTAAAAGAAAGATGTAAAAGAATTTAGACACTATGAAGAAAAGAATAGGAATAATTAATTTCATTTGCTGTAAGCACCCTTTACGTACTTATCGAATATTATACTACAAAATATGAAATAATAAATAAATTTTTGAAAAAACTTTCTTTTAAATTAAGTATTTAAATAATTGATGCGAAGTGAATGAAAAAATGATTTTGTAACAAAAGCTGCAAAGCTACAAAAATATTTTAATTTTTTTTTACAGAATATATGTATGCAATTAAAATGGGATTCATTACATTTAAATGAGAATTCGTATTTGGAATATGGTGAGCTAGATGGTACTAATGAAGTTACATTGGGTAACATGCCAGATTTGGTAATGCAAAGCATTTTCGAGTCTTTCAATCTTCGTGATCGTTGTGTAGCATCCCAGGTATATCTTGTTTAGTTGCATCATTTTTTTATTTGCATAAAGTTACCGTATTCATTCCTAATCAATAATCTTGTTAGAGAAAAAAAACGAACCAACTAATATAATAGCAAGATCATTTATCATTTTCATTTTCATTTGAAAATTAAGTGTGTATTTAATTAAAGGTAAAATGTTGGTCATTTCCAAATTTGCTTAATCCTCTAAATAACATTTTGGGTAAATGTTTTAATATTTATTTCATTTTTCAGAAGGCTATCGCATATACAATTTGTTTATTAGCATTAATTCTTGGCAGAAATCAAATGACTTAATCTAAACTTGAGACTCGTAATCCATTAAATCAAATTATTTATGAGAATTCTCATAACATTTAAAACTTTTATTTGCTAGTGAAGTTATCTTTTTTCGACAACTATAGAGTACTTTGGTTTGATTGCATGAATTATAAGTTATCTCATTGTTTGTAAAAGTGAAAACATTTTCAGCTGTTCCAATTTAGCGTAAGATTTATGAAAACAATTTTAAATATTATCAGTTAAATCTTAGTCTTAGGAATAGTTTCAAATGTTTTAATTTAACAATTGGACAGTGAGCTTGAAATATGCCTGGCTCAATTTCAGGTATGCAAACGTTGGTACTATCTATTGACTTGCAGGTTTCCGATGGAAGATGTAACAGTTCTCAATATTTTCCAACATCAAATATACAAAGATAAAATTAGTAATAACAAAAATATTGGGTAATTATTTCTGAGAAATATTATTTTGTTTTCCTGATAACTTGTACAATTTGAACTAGCCATTTTAATTTTATTTAATGATATGACTAGCATTAATAAAAAAACAACTATAATTTGTTGGCAGCGAACAAGCTTTAACTTAGATTGATTGCATTAACTGTTGTAATCTTCCAGTTACTCGTAGATTCCTTCAGATTAAAACTGGATTACTGAACTAACCTAAATAATCGATCTGGTTCTAAATTTGTTGGTAGGAAAGAGTAACAGACACTTTTCCAGCCCCTAATTAGACAATTATAATTTTATGAATTAATGATTAGCATAATTTTTGAAGGAAAATATAGTGCTTTCCAGTACACCATTGCTAAGTAATGTAGTCAATGAATGCTTTTGCAGATTGAAATGTTATCATATCGATAAAGATAGCTATTTATTAATTGCCTTGAAACATTGTCGAATAATAAGTAGCGTCAAAATATGGTTTGCTGATGCTACCTTTGCTGGCAAAGTGTTGAGTAAATTTTTATCACTTATTATACATTCTGTTAATTACATTTTCAATGTTTCATTTCTCACTTTGTGCTAATTACTGATTAGATTATTGACATACTTGCGTTTTTCCACATTTATACCTTACGATTTACATTTGCTATCTTCTTTTTTTGTTTACCACTGAGCTATACATGAAAATTTTTCAGTATCGATTAACGCTGTTAGATATTATTACTTGCGGAAATATTAGTTTGCCTTTTCCATTGTTATTGTCATTTTTAAATTTTATAAAAGTCCTTAATTATCAATAGTTCGTCTAATTAACGGACGAATTTAGCAAAACACTTTGAAGTTTGTGGATGGTTGTATATTTAAACCTAATATTGTCTCATACCGTCACAAGATAGGCAAAATTCGAATGACTGAAGAATTCTGATTGATTACTAAAATTATAAAACTGCCGTTTCTTTTTTGTATTTTTAAAGGATTTCTTTTATTCCTATTAGATTCTTCCTTATCTTTGATTGCTTTTCCTCTGCTTTATTTCGAATGCTAAGTTTGGAAAAGCTGTTATATTGATTCATTTTAGTGTTGTAAATGATAGTTCCTCTACTATTTTATTTCCAAACTTCAACTTTTTTGCTGCCCTTTTTCCGGTTTTAGAATTTCAAATTTTAAAGTATAACAAATATTCAAGCTTAATAATGATTTATTTTACAGAAAAGTTGAAACAAGCTAAAATTCGTATGAGATGTCTGGATCTTTATCCATACAATACTGTAAGTCTTAAATATTTGATTATTTATAAAATTAGGTTTTCACTGGCTAATTTATTTCATGGTAAATTTAGAAATATTACTATTAGCACTTGAAACATAACGAAAATTCATGCATTTATTTTCAGTTTACTGTCTGTTTTTTTCGATTTTTTCAACTTAAATAATCTGAAAATATATTTGGTTTGTAGGAAAAAGCATTAGAACAAGCATTCAGTTCATTTCCCGATCTTACGGGTATGACAATGCGACCACATGGTCAAGAATTTTTCTGGTCTGGATTGGATATGTATTCGTTTCCGAAATTTACCAAAATGGACACACTTATGTTGGATGGATTTAATATCAGTGAGATTCAATGTTGAATTTTATTGATTTGTAGTATCGAATAAGTGACGGTAAATGAAGGAATGAACTAAATTTCATCATTTTTATATGTTTATTACTTCATTAATTAAGAATTAGCTGACAATCTGGTTGCTAATATTCATCCGATGAAAAAAAACTATGCATTCAGTTGGAATTTCATCGAATAAATTCTTGTTTATTAAGTCAGTTTCGCGCGAAATTTTCGGACTAATATTGATTTTGCTTATAACGAACTAATATTGATTTTCGGACTAATATTGATTTTGCTTATCAAATATGTTATGGTAGATATTAGCAAAATTTTTATATTTAGATATCTTTGATTACATATCAACGTAAAGTTAACAGATTAATAGCATTTGTTTGTGCTTTTTTCTTGCAAAGTTATTATTACTTTTTGTAGAACCGGAAGTTTTTCTACCAGAAAGTCTTACAACATTGGAATGGCTTAATAGGAGTGGAAAATTTCTGCGTATAATGCCAAAACTGCGGTATTTGGTGAATTTGGAATATTTGATGTTAGGACATGCGGAATTTTTGGACGCACAAGAATTTGATTCATTCCTTCAAGTGATCAGCTCAGAAAATTTACCAAAATTACAATATCTTGTATGTTCTTTTTTTCTTTTTGAAGGAGGAGTGGAAAACGGCGAGTAATTTGATTAGAATTTAATTAGTATTTTTTTTTTTTATCCCAGTTAATGTTGTAATTTATAATAAAATTTTTTTCTTCGCCTTACATATTTTTATATTAGATCTATTGAGATATTTTCATATAAATAAAATATATGGTTAGAAGTTTAAATAACATTTCTTACATGAGTTTTTCTTCCTAAGTTTTTTAAGTTTTTTGCTAAGTTTTTTTTTAAGACCAAGTTTTTTTGGTCATCAGATATAAGATATTAACTGGATCAAATCTAATCAGTATAGACTTATTGATTTTTTCTTACGCTCACTACTGAATATCACTAATTTATATAATAATGGATGCAATTCTAAAAGAAAAAGAAAGAAAATCGTGAAAAACTTTCATAGGTAGTTATTATAATGCAAATATCTTTTTCTTTCAGTATCTGATATTATCAGGTATCGTAATTTAAGAAAGATAATATCATATACTATCAGATATCGTAATTTAAGGAAGATTATTTATTGATAAAAGTTACTTCCTTATATATTAATCCTTCGCAGAATTTCTCGGGCTATTGTTTCTTTTTTATTTTGTCTTTTACATTTTGAGGTATGTCATAATTTTTACAGAGATCTTTGGTAGTCGTAATAGTTTGTATCAAGTTTGATAGTTGTAATAATTTATAAAATTATTGTGATTTATATCAAATCAAATATCGTTACCATGATTTATACCATGTTAAGGTATAATTATATGTCATTATCATGATTTATAAGAAGTTAGGTATGATTATTGTTGACTTATATCGAGTCAACTATGACAATTCGAGTTGAGTATAATTATCGTAATTTATATCGAATTAGATATTATTATGATAACTTACATATTAAGTTCAGCGTTATTATCATGATATATATAGAAAGTTAAAATGCGATTTAGGTGATTTATATTAAGCGAAATTGTAATTTTTCATGCTATACTGAAATAATTTCAAACATTCAGGAAAAGTAAGAGTGACGAAGGATGCAATTTCATTCTACTGTAATTGTCTGTTCAAAGTTTGGACGAATTTGTTTTATTTAATGACTGATTTGTTCCTCTTTGTCATTTCATTATTAATACTTCAGCAATTTCGAATTAGTCATGTGCAACGTAAATTATCTTTCAGAAATTGAGAAACGTATATATTTAATTTTCAATGTTTTCAAATATCTCAACGATCAGAGAGGAACAAAAGCTGCATCCCATTTTACTTTTATCATTTATTCTTTAGTAGATGTAGAGCTAACAATATTATTAAGGCATAAGATGACATAAATCTGCGAAAAATTCTCAATTTGAAGTTAAACATTCAGTTTCATGTTTCTAAAATTAAATTTACTTAATTTTTCTAAAACCAAAATATACATATATATATATATACATTCTTATATATATATATATATATACATGTT